AGACTTCATATCAGCTACATACATGATGAGCATCTTAGATTTCACCATTGCTCTTCTGGATGAGACTTGTTGACTTGATTTCAACCCTTTAATGTTAACAAAATTTCCAGGAAATTTTCTTATTAAATTGTGTTAGTGCAATCGGCCTAAAAGAAATATGTTAGAGCTCATTTCTTGTAAATTATTAGAGGAAGACTTAGATGTGTTAGTGGAAGACCTTGCCTAACTTGCTATTTCTTCCAAAATGCATTATTATTGTTAGTTCAATTATTAAAATATAATATAAGAAGAGCTAAATTTAATCAGTTTTTGCATTCTATTTGCATAACTGCATTTTTAAATTCATTTGTCTTTAATTTTAAATAAAAAAAATAATTTTTTAGTGAGTGTATTATACAATCTGTTAAATCAAAATATGTTCCAACCAAGAGACCATGACTTTATATCAGCTTTTTTTTCTTTTTTTTTTTTGAACAAAAGTGAAAGACTTCATATCAGCTACATACATGATGAGCATCTTAGATTTCACCATTGCTCTTCTGGATGTGACTTGTTGACTTGATTTCAACTCTTTAATGTACACAAAATTTCCAGGAAATTTTCTTATTAAATTGTGTTAGTGCAATCGGCCTAAAAGAAATATGTTAGAGGTCATTTCTTGTAAATTATTAGAGGAAGACTTAGATGTGTTACTGGAAGACCTTGTCTAACTTGCTAATTCTCCCAAAAGGCATTATTATTCTACTCGTATTGGAAGGGAAATGCAATTTGACTAGTGTAGACCTATGTTGAATCAAAGTATGTTCTAACCAAGAGACCATGACTTCATATCAGCTTTTTTTTTTTTTGAACAAAAGTGAAAGACTTCATATCAGCTACATACATGATGAGCATCTTAGATTTCACCATTGCTCTTCTCGATGAGACTTGTTGACTTGATTTCAACCCTTTAATGTACACAAAATTTCCAGGAAATTTTCTTATTAAATTGTGTTAGTGCAATCGCCTAAAAGAAATGTGTTAGAGGTCATTTCTTGTAAATTATTAGGGGAAGACTTAGATGTGTTAGTGGAAGACCTTGTCTAACTTCCTAATTCTCCCAAAAGACATTATTATTATTAGTTCTCTTATGATAAAATTACTTTTCTATTCTACTCATATTGGAAGGGAAATGCAATTTGACTAGTGTAGACTTATGTTTCCTCGCATCTCCATTGTAATTGAAATTTTCTTCTCTTTTCTTGGGTTTCGAATTGCAGATGGCGAGTTGACTCCAAGTTAAGTTCTTCATTTATGATTTTTGAAAGTTGATACGTGAGTTTTTTTATTAAAGTTTAATTTAATTTAATTTAAAATTAATTGATAATAAGTAGAATAATTATTTTTATATTTAACTTAAATGTTTTTTGGCTATTAATAAAAATTGAGCTCATGATAAGGATGAAATAGAGTTTGTATATGTGGGTTAGAATATTTTTGCACTTTAAATAATAAAAATTCACTTGGTTAATAAAAAAAATGCTTTTTTTGCTATTTGTTTGATGTAAAATTTTACCACTTTATATAATTTAACTGTGAATAAATGTTTTCTCTCAGTTTTTATTTCAGATTTTTTATGGGCGGTTTCCTCAAATAATGGTGATGGACTTCTTTGTGGGTTGTCTCCAGCTATAAAGGGGTTTTCGGCTATGCTTGCATTCGTATGATCTTAATGATACACTCTCACATCACATTGACACCGTAAATTTAAGGAAAATAAATTTTATTGAATGATTTAAAATCGATTATTTACCATTAGATATATATATTTTTAAGATTTATCCTCTTTTCTTTTTTTTTGATAAAAAGGCAAAATTTCATTCAAGAACTGAAAATATCACACAGAGAAACGAGCAGGGACATAGAGCCCAACAATGGCCCCAATCCAACTCCTCTCATTCTACATATCAGATGCCATACGACCCATGTTATGGGCATCTACATTAATTTGCTTCACTCTTGACATGAGAAAAGCGAAAAAAATCAACCAGTTGAAGCAACCCATGCATTTCCAATACCACAGCCCCACAAGACAACATGCGATCTACTCCTTTGCGTGCCTCAGTAGCTACCCTGTTTAGATTTACAACCACAATAAAGAACAGAGCCACAAGCATCCTGAATAACCAAACCACACTTCAACATATTGCTAGCCGCCAAGACTGAAGCATCAGTATTAATTTCGACATCATTTTCGATTATATTAGTGGATGATTAAGGAATATATCTCAGTTTACCATCTTTTAAGGAATACGCATTATTTCCATTTTTCTTCCATTTTTCCTAATCTAAAAGAAACTTAACATTCTCAAGAAATATGTATTCCTAACTTTTTAGTAAGTTTTGCAATTTTGTCTTCATTTTATGTTTTAACCAACTAACAATGATCACTCCAATCAAGTTGCACGAATGGCTGACAAATCCCCAACTGTGTTTATAAATGGTGTTTGGAAGGGACTATTGTGTGATGTGTAAATGTGCTAGATGGACAAACTATTTTAAAACAATCTAGTAGTGTATATGGGCATGAGTATCCCTTGCATTCAATCAATAAAATAATTTTGCTTTTCAAGAAAAAAAAAGAAGTTAATTAGTTCTTTTTATTACTCCAATCAATTATTATTTTCAAGGTTAAATGCTAATTTTGGTCTCTTAATTTTATAGTATTGCAAAATTTTTATCTTTTAATTATTTTTTACACTTTTTGATCCCTCAACTTTAAAAATTGCATAAGTTTGGTCTCTCGATCAGTTCGGACCATTAACTCAGTCCACGTTGTATTTCTTTTATTTGTTTTAATGACATGGATAAATGATGCGCACATCCTTATTAATCTTATTTGGAAATTAAAGGACCCACTTGCCTAAATCAATTGTCTAGAAATTGGTTCCTACTTTAAAATTCTTCCAGTCTTATATCACATATTGGCATATACATGCACCATATTTATTACATGTCAATTTCCACATTTACTTGACAAATGGGGTCAAGCAAATGTAAACGAGGAAACTTGCAAGCAATTGCGGCTAAAACCAACTTTTAGCTCCTCACCTTACAAAATTGGTAGGTTTTAGTCCCTAACCTTATAATATAACACTTTTAGTCTTTTACCTTACAAAGTTGGTAGGTTTTAACCCCTCATCTTACAAAGTTGGTAGGTTTTAGCTCCTCACCTTATACTATGATACTTTTAGTCCCTTATTTGTATGAATTAAAGAAAATAACCCTCACTTAACATCATGTTATAATGTTCTGTTAGTTCTATTAGTTGACTATAAATTCTGCTAACTGACTGTTAGTTCTGCTAACTGACTGTTAGTTCTGCTAACTGACTGTTAGTTCTATTAACTGACTGTTAATATCCGTCAGTATTCTATTAATGGAACTAACAAATAAAATTGAATTTAAATTTAATGTTTTCTATGATGAAATGCTAACAAATGTTAACAGTCAGTTAACAGAACTAATAAAA